TGGGCGCCCATAACTCTGGTTATGCCACTGCTCCTCACCATCTTGTTTTGAAATTGTATTGCAACTGTACGGTCTCCCTCCATTTTGTAAAGCGCTGTGCAAACTGTGGTGTTATATAAATCCTGCATAATAATAATGAAAATAATAACTATAATATTCAGCCTTACAGTGGAAATCATCTAAGGCTCCAGTGCATCAGCACAACTGGTCACCTCTGGACCTCAATATATGAGATCCCTGGAAATGACTCAAGGCATCCGTAGATCATCTACAAGGGGTAGCAACCCCTTGATTTTTCTTCTTTTTCTTCTATTTGATTTTTTTGATTTATGGACCTACTGATTAGGTGGCATATTATAATTTCTCTTGGTTATAAGAATATAATTGAGAACCAATAAGGCATTCCGGTTGTCGGAGATCGATGTCCATAACCCTCCCCTCCCCCCCAACTGTCTCAAAGGAGATTCACCTTACTCTCACTTCCTGTTGTGTTTACAGGACAGGAAGTGAAGGAAAATTTCTCAATCATGAGAAGGTAAGTTAATCATACACAATCAGATCAGCTCTGTTGTTGTTTAACCTAGAGTTCTTATTCAACTGGACACCCTCTAAGCATAGTTCACACGCCGGCTGCATGCTAGTTAAACTGCTTTCAGAAACAGAACATTTTGGAAATTTTCCACTATTGATAAGAAAACTCACTTCAGACAAATCAAGTGTATAAATAGACGGCGGTAAACTGATGTTGGCTGTGATAAGAGAGTTATGAGAGTGACTCTGACCTTTCTTTCTGTACACGGTAATATCTTCTATAGATGTCAATTTGACTTTATGCTTGCAGTGGAGTCCCTCCATACTGGTGGCTGCAGAGTTCCCCAGAGCAGTCTGAACCTGCAAAAGGAAGGTCGAGGCATAAACTGTGATTTCTTTTTGGTTGGAAAAGCTTGATGTGCCATATTTTCACAATAATATTTCACAAACAGATTTGTGGATCACCTTTCTATTGGGCTGATAATTACAAGCAACGTTCTTGCAGTATATCTGAGGTGTTTCTTCTTCTTATTATTATTATATTATTATTATACAGGATTTATATAGCGCCAACAGTTTGTGCAGCGCTTTACAATATAAGGAAGACATTACAGTTACAATACAATACAAGATGGTAAGGAGAGCCCTGCCCCTGAGGGCTTACAATCTGAAAGAGGAGGGGGAAATGATACATAAGGAGGGAGCTTTGTGGGGATGAATTATACCTCCGTTTCTGACCTGCGTGTGCCGCTGTAGCCCCCAAGAAGAACCCGGTACTTTCATTTATGGGCCACATCTAGTACCTAAATAATTTGTCACCCTGCTCCAGCGCTGCCATATGGAAGGCAATCAGTCCTATGCAATTACCAACTTTCATAAGGACGATATATGAACAGGATTTCTTTAGGCAAATATATACAGCTGGCAGCATAGGGAAGATAAGAGAAGGTACCTTATAGAGCATGCTTTTACAGCATATCAAACAACGGAAGTAAATAAAATTGTCTTAAAATGAACATTTGTGCACATACAGATTTAGAAACATTAAATGTCCCCAGCATATAATAGGAAGAAATAGCTATGAAAAAACACTATATTATGTCGAAGAAAATAGACTTGAAGTTCAACACAGTCTGCCCCCTGCAACTCCCCCCCTCCCCCCTTACACACACACTCACTCCTGAAAATAGACAAATATATTGAAACTCCAGTTGGGTGAAGATCCTTTTCTGTTCCAGCATGACTGTGCCCCTGTGGTCAAAGCCAGCTCCATAAAGACATGGTTTGATGAGCATTGCCTGTACCCCCCTGGGCAGAGTGTGACTCCGCCAATGAGAGATACCATATAGTGTATGTACAGTACAGCAGCCAATGACTGTGTGTCTCTCAGCCAGTGGTGCATGCTGGGATAGGGTACATATACTGGAGGGGTTTGCCATGTGCTCAGATCAGCCAGGACCAGCCATGGATTAGGGCTGGGTGCTGTTCAGCCTGCCCCCCAGGCCCAGGCTGTTGCAACACACTGATAGAACCAAGCACAGCATCTAGCTCCACTAGTATTCCCTTTTACAGTCTTATTACTACAAATGATAACAGTGATAATACCTGATTATTGGTGGAACAGATGATATTTGATCCTCCATCTCCATTATACTCCTCACAAATCACACCGGTGCCATTCCCAGATACCGCAACATAGTCACATGACTCATCCTTTGAGCAATCTGAAATAATAAAAGTTACCAGAATACAGCAGGTAGGTATACTACCAGGGCCTTGGGGCAGCACTGCCACTGTGTGGGTAGTTTTTTGTTTTGTTCTTTTATTATTTGTTTTGTTCTTTATATTTAGCCCTGCTTCGGGCAAGCAGGGCTAAATGTAAAAAATAAAAATTTATATAAAGTAAAAAATAATAAAATAAATACAAAGAAATAAGTAAAAAAATAATAAGAAATAATTCAAATTTAAAAAAATAAAAGAGTGATATAAAAAGGTAAAAAAAATAATAAAATAAAAAATTATTAAAAAGTAAAAGATATTTACAGAAGGATTTCCTTTCAGTTTCTGCCCGGCCAGTAACGAGAATGGATCTCTGGGAAAGTTATAAAAGCCCAACAACGTTTCACCTTTCACATTCTATACCAAACTATGAAAAAAGGTTTTAGCTTTACATATACTTTAAATATAGTTGTGAGACATGCTAATAATTATAATGTATGTAAAGTTAAAACCATTTTATATTGAATTGGATATAGCGGGGAATAGTTAAGACCCCTGTCATGTTTTATTTGCTATCCTATATAATAAAAATGTGACAGAGGTCCTTACCCTTTCATATGCTATACAAAAGTAGGGCTAAAAAAGGTTTCGCTATAATACTCTTAGGGTTAAGTTTAGAGGTAAGGCTCCTATTAAGTGTTAAGTTTAAGGGTTAGGCTTAGGTTAAGAGTTAGGTTTAACCTATGGGTTAGGTTTAGGGGTTAGGTTTAAGCTAAGGGTTAGGTTTAGGGGTTAGGTTTAAGCTAAGAGTTCAGTTTAGGGGTTAGGTTTAAGCTAAGGGTTCCGTTTAGCTGTGTTTTTGAAGCTAAGGGTTCAGTTTAGGGGTTAGGTTTAAGCTAAGGGTTCAGTTTAGGAGTTAGGTTTAAGCTAAGGGTTCAGTTTAGGGATTAGGTTTAAGCTAAGGGTTCAGTTTAGGGGTTAGGTTTAAGGGTTAGGTTTAAGCTAAGGGTTCAGTTTAGGGGTTAGGTTTAAGCTAAGGGTTCAGTTTAGGAGTTAGGTTTAAGCTAAGGGTTCAGTTTAGGGATTAGGTTTAAGCTAAGGGTTCAGTTTAGGGGTTAGGTTTAAGCTAAGGGTTCAGTTTTGGTGTTAGGTTTAAGCTAAGGGTTCAGTTTAGGGATTAGGTTTAAGCTAAGGGTTCAGTTTAGGGGTTAGGTTTAAGCTAGGGGTTAGGTTTAAGCTAAGGGTTCAGTTTAGGGGTTAGGTTTAAGCTAAGGGTTCAGTTTAGAGGTAAGGTTTAAGCTAAGGGTTCAGTTTAATTTCCACATGCATTTTGCTAATAAATAAGCTGATTTGATACTTGTTATTTTTGTGTTTCATATACACCTTTTCAAAAATATTTTCTTGAAAGCTGAGGTAAAGTAAACCGATAGTAAGATCTGACTGGAACATCACCATCAAAAAAAGTGTCTTCACCACCATAGAAAAACATGATGGTTTCCAGTGATAAAACTACCCAGAGATACCTCAACAAGTCTTGCGATTGTCCCTAGAAATAAACAACGTTTGACAAGCGTTACATTGCATATGTCGTACACTGAGACTTACCATCAATACATTCCACCAGGGTCTTCTGACGTGTCTTAACTTCCATGGACTGTGCAGTCTCCAAAATTCTATCAGCGACAATCAGTCTGTCTTCTGGGACCAGGTTAAACCTTCGTAACACTAGAACAACAACATGCATTTCTGTCACTTGAAGGGACAATTCACGTAAAAGCAATATCTCAATTATTGGTGGACTCTGGTGGTGGGCTGAGTCAGCCTCTGGATTTATTAGGCCTTTTGGGGAATCCAAATGTTAGATAAGCTAAGGGTTCAGTTTAGGAGTTAGGTTTAAGCTAAGGGTTCAGTTTAGGGATTAGGTTTAAGCTAAGGGTTCAGTTTAGGGGTTAGGTTTAAGCTAAGGGTTCAGTTTTGGTGTTAGGTTTAAGCTAAGGGTTCAGTTTAGGGATTAGGTTTAAGCTAAGGGTTCAGTTTAGGGGTTAGGTTTAAGCTAGGGGTTAGGTTTAAGCTAAGGGTTCAGTTTAGGGGTTAGGTTTAAGCTAAGGGTTCAGTTTAGAGGTAAGGTTTAAGCTAAGGGTTCAGTTTAATTTCCACATGCATTTTGCTAATAAATAAGCTGATTTGATACTTGTTATTTTTGTGTTTCATATACACCTTTTCAAAAATATTTTCTTGAAAGCTGAGGTAAAGTAAACCGATAGTAAGATCTGACTGGAACATCACCATCAAAAAAAGTGTCTTCACCACCATAGAAAAACATGATGGTTTCCAGTGATAAAACTACCCAGAGATACCTCAACAAGTCTTGCGATTGTCCCTAGAAATAAACAACGTTTGACAAGCGTTACATTGCATATGTCGTACACTGAGACTTACCATCAATACATTCCACCAGGGTCTTCTGACGTGTCTTAACTTCCATGGACTGTGCAGTCTCCAAAATTCTATCAGCGACAATCAGTCTGTCTTCTGGGACCAGGTTAAACCTTCGTAACACTAGAACAACAACATGCATTTCTGTCACTTGAAGGGACAATTCACGTAAAAGCAATATCTCAATTATTGGTGGACTCTGGTGGTGGGCTGAGTCAGCCTCTGGATTTATTAGGCCTTTTGGGGAATCCAAATGTTAGCTCTCCCCACTATAGCACACGGCTCTGTTCCTGTCAATCGGGAATCTCAAATTTCCTGCTGCTCTAGGGTTGTCTCCTGGTATTCCCGCCCCTGTTGTATTTTCTTTCATTTAAGTAATCCATCAGTAAGTTGAAAGAGACTTCCTCCATAACTGCAGGAGGAACGCATACTTGGGAACTTCAGCATACACATCACTAGAGTGTGTGAATATATAAATATTCACACATAGAAGAATATATTATATAAAAATACATGACAAAATACTACATAAGAATATATAACAATATATTATATAGCAGGGCCGAAGTTAGGTGGGGATGTGCCCCGAGTGCTGCTTTAGGAGGGGTGCCACTGGGTGTGTGGATACAGAACTTCTCCTTTGGGGGGGAGGAACTCTGAGCCTTTGCCCCGGGTAACAGAATATCTAGCTTCCCCACTGCTATATAGGAATATATATAAGAGATATATATATATATATATACACCTTAGTGTTCAGATTTAAATGATTTTAATAAATCAGTTTAGAGGAATGTTTGACTTTTGGCACAGTGGCCTACTGACCCTTAAGGCAGAAAGAGCAATGTCCAAGCAGCGGCCTAAGCAAACAGGCAACAATGCCCTTATATTGGTTTCTCTTCTATAAACCAGTGAAAGACAAAAGCTGAATGATTGCTAAAAGGTACGTCACCCATAGTTTACCTCCTATTGCGTAATCACTACCTTCATACATGTGATGTCTCCTGTGCGCTCGTATCTCTCAATCTGAGTCACACGTGGGATTTCTAAGAATTCTTTAGCAAGCAACCACATTACCCACAATCCTTTAGGGCATCTATTTATAGCCCTTATCTCAGTTCAATTTGAAAGTCTAGTGGAATCTGTTTACTTAGTAAAAATACGTTTCCCCGAGGCTTGGTTTCTGCAAAGAGCTGTGGACTCACAAGGCACCAGCGCTGTTAAAAAGGTGAGTGACCTCAACCCACACCCAGGAAATGCTGGCCATGATCAGGACATGTCCTTCAAGTTGCTCAGGGCAAAGGAAAGATAACCATATGATGCTGGGAAGGGGGGTAGTTAGGTGACCCTTTTGCTTGGTCCTGCTGGGGGAACGGAAAAGGGAACTTTTAACAGTTGGTGTTCATCAGTCCATGATTAATAACCCTAGGCTTCTGTATTCCCAAAGGACTCTGAGAGATAACTAAAGATACATATAGCCACCTCTAGGTGTCTGCCTTTAGCTCCATCTGTCAGTGCTCTAGCCATAAATTTAGTACAGATATGCATTAAAGTTGAACACCAGCCAGTCATAAAAATGTTTGTAGTATGTGCCCCCCCCCCATAGCAAGGTTAAGTCTTTCCTCAGACTATTTCAACAACAATCTTCCCATATAATTACTGTATATGTGTATTTGACATTGCTAATTACCTATAAAAGCCTCCATTGTGTAGACATCCAAAAGCCCTGAGACTGCTGCTTGGCACCGCCATCTTGAATGTGATGCCCAGACTTTTCGCCGGGGGTTGCGTGTGCCAGTTCTGGTGGTGCGCGTGCTGGTTTTGGTGGTGCTGATGGATTACCAGGTTGGGTTGTTGGTGGTTGATGGGTTCTATCCAGTGTTCCGCCAAGATGCCAGATAGAACCCATAAACCACCAACAACCCAACCCATTAAACCACCAGAACCAGCATGTGCACCGCCAGAACAGGTTGCTAAGAGCTCTTATCAACCTGGAACATTTTGGCCAGAAAGGGGCAGCAGGCTCACCTGCTTTTCCCCATATGACCTAAAGAGATACCACCTCTGGCTACCTCATTAGGTATATTAGGTATACCCAGGATGCGATCAGCCCCAGAAGACTCAGAGCTGTCACCCAAGTAACACTCTATAGTATTGCCCCTCAAGTCTGCCCTGCAGCTACATAAAAGGTTATATAGGGAGGTGAGGGGCAGGGTGAAGAAGCTGGGCCACCGCAGACAGCAATTAGACACTCCAGGAAGAGAAGAGGGCTATTACATGCAAGAAGGGAGGGGGCCGTGCTAGGGAACTGACTCCTCATGAAGAAGTCAAATTTGCTGGCAAGCGTAAAAGTCACATTGCAAGTGAAGGCAAAACCCTTTATGAAAACTATGCAAACTACTTGACTCTTCTGTGCTCTTACCTGCAATTTTTTAAGTTGGTCACAAGGTCTCTTCAAAAACCTGCCAGATGTTCCAACCCTTCCCCACTCTACCCAACACTGAAAATAAAGTTTGAGCTTGATTTGGGCTTTCAATTAATCTTTAATGTTTTAAAGCAGAAAAAAACAGCCAAACATAAGATAAAATGAATAGCTTATTAAAATATATAAAAGAAAACAGCTTTTGCTGCAAGTTTCAGCTTTAATCTAGAGATTTCCCCCTCAGTACCTTTTTCTTCCACTAGATGTCCTCAGTCTAAAGGTCAGCATTATTCCAACCATTTCTTCTGAGTCCAGGTCATCCTGGACCTGCCCTCAGCCTGTGATTGGACAGTGAAAGGAGAAGCAACACAGTGATGATCGTGCTTCTAGTAAGCACATGTACTGATTGGTTGCTCATACTGCCTTCTCCTCTCACGCTCCAGCCCTGTTGTACATGGACTGCAAGTAGGGTTGCCACCTTTTCTTCAAGTGAAACCTGAATACTCTAGTGCCGCTTTTTGGAGAATTTAGAGGAGAGAGCAAGGAGAGGCAGCCAGGAGAGAAAGCTGGAAAAGAAAGCCAGGGGAGGGAGTAAGGAGACCGTCAATAGAGGACTACAGCAATACATTATACAGCAATACAAAATAATACTACATACTCTGTGTTGTTCTGGGTTGGCGGCCTAATGTCTCCAGGTGGCCTAGTGGCCTAGTGGCCTGTGTGGGCGCTGAGATGGCTGTGCGACTCTCAGGTGGGCTATGCGGCCCCTCGGGTGTACTCTGCGCACTCTCAGGTGGGCTATGTGACTCTCAAGTAGGCTATGCGACTCTCAGGTAGGCTGTGTGCCTCTCAGGAGGGCTATGTGACTCTCGGGTTGGCTGTGCGACTCTCATGTGGGCTGTGCAACTCTCAGGCGATCTGTGCGACTCTCAGGTGGGCTGTGCATCTCTCAGGTGTGCTGTTCGCCTCTCAGGTGGGCTGTCTGGGCTATGGTGTCTCAAAAGGAGTTGGCAGGTGGCCAGCACGGGGTCAGGGAGCCCGGAGGATGAGGAGGAAAAGGAGAAGCAATGACAGATGTGGCTGCCGAGGGCCCTGGCAAGCACGATCTTGGGTAGCCACATCTGCCTGAAACTGGATCTTCCTCTGAGCTGCGGGCACATGTAAACAGGCACAGGCTACCCGCAGCTCAGACGAAAATTCGATTTCAGGCAGATGCGGCTGCCCGAGATCGCGCTTGCCGGGAACCTATGCAGCTGCATCTGTCAGAAAATGTAGTCCCGGTGTTAGCACTGAGAGTTTTGTGTCTTCTGGCTGAACACCCGGACACAAGACTCCACAAAAGGGACTATCCGGGTGAAAACCCTTACTGCAGGAGGCTGATAGTAGCTCATATTCGGGATCTTACACTGCTTGCATTAAAAAGTATACACACTGATGTTTTAATGATTACAGGTCTGTATTAACTTGTGTCTCTTAGTTTACAAATACGTCCATAAGGATATATTTTGGGGTCCGGGCGTGAAGCATCTTAAAAAGACAACACAAATGGCTAAAAAAATTACCTAATTGAAAAAAATTAATTATACCAAGAAGATTTTCTCCTGAGAAAGTTTTGTCTCGAGCTGCAGTGATCCTTGGCTGGCCGTCTTTTAAGTCAATAGACTTATTAGCTTCCTGGAAGCTGATACGGCCCGTTCACAACACTCACTTCATCATAAAGTGTTTCTCCAGCGCTGCCAGACACATCCGCCAAAGAGCTCAGAATGATCTGGTTTTTAATGACTGTACTAGAAGAAACTTTTTATAATATTTTGCAATACTATGAGCTTAAACTGTGACTGCCCCCAAAACCCCAACTCAAGCCCCCCCTCGACCCCTGGCAATTCTCAAAGTCACCTGTGCCCGATCCAGCAAGATATCACCCACAAATCCACTGAGCCATTGTGTAAATCTTCTGAGCCTGAGAATCCCAGCCAGGACTTCCAGAAGACCCACCAGTACCTCTAATGGTACTGATAGGTGCTTTTCCATTACTTCTAATGGCTATCACAGAATCTGGGCCAATGAGGCTTATAATAGCCATAGATTCCGGACCAGGACATCCAGAGTGCCTTAACGTGATGCTGGGCATGTTGTCTCTGATTCAGAGGGGAATTTAAATGAGGTGAGTGCTTTTCACTCATCTTCATAGTTCTAGCTGTAGCTCGCGGTATACTGAGCTTAAGGTGACGGGGGGACACTAGTTTGTGTCCTCCCGTTACCCTAAGGAGAACTATGGGGAAAAGCCCTAACCCCATAGTTCTCCTTTAAGCACCAGCTCTGCAAGGGCTGGTTCTGTGTCTTCAAGCCAACTTCTGCATGTACAAAGAGCTTTAATACTACAACTATACTGACCTAGACTGTCTGCCCATTCTCCGCTTGCCTCCTGTTCTTATCTTCTGCCTGGACCTGACCTAACTCTTGTCTCCTGCCTTATCTATTGACTCTTCATTACCAACCTGGACCTCCTGACTACTCTCTGCTAGCCTCCTGCCTCGAACCCCTGCCTGGATCTGACTACGTTTTCATCTCCTGTTTTTGTCTTCTGTCTAATGGCTTGTGACACAGACCGTTCAACCATTCTCTGGTTATCTACTGTCAGAACCTCTACCTCGTCCTGACCATGCTCCAGACTTCTGTCTCCTCATTGGAGCCCTCTTGTCCTTGTTCATTCTTTGGCGGGGTGATTTTGGGGGCCGCAGCCAGGTACCAGCAAGCAGCTAAACTCATCTCCACCATCAGAAGCTCTGGTGAAAACCATAGGGAGACATAGGGGTTTTTTTACAAAAAATTTGCAATGCACCCTGTGAATCTCAAATTTATATTTTAAATATATTTTCCTTTCAGGTCGAATGTAACATTCTGAAAATACCACAATATGGCCTCTAGATGGAGCTGAGGAGCACAGGAAATCAGTATTTAATTCCTATGCTCCTCAGCTCCATCTAGAGGCAAATTTGTGGCATTTTTTAAATGTTACATTTGACCTGGAAAGAAAATATAGCAAGAACATTAATAGTTGCCTCTATTCGCACAGAATGAGCATTCACAGAGATTTACAGGGCAAATGATCCTGTAAGTTGTTTATAAACAGACCCCATAGTAGGTCTCTTATGCAATAAAAAGTCTGCCTGGTTGCCCCTTTTTAACTTTTAACCTAATGTTCTTCTTTAACAGAAGATTGTGTCTATACGTAGATTCATTGATCTTAAAGTGACAGTAAACTCAGTAGTTAAATCTTAAAATACATTCAAGAACCTTAACTATTAACAAAAATGTATCTTATTTGTGTATCACTCAGCTGTAGATCCTAAATCATCTCTGAATTGGTGCTGACACTGTCCTTCCTTCTGGAGGGGGGGCTACTTTTGTTCCCCATGGTCCCTGTGTGTGTTGTAAAGTAGCCACCGCTCCAAGCTCACTCCCGTAATGGACTACGATCTCAGTACAAATTAGTAAACTAGACATGAGATTGTAGTCCATCTTGGGAGCGAGCTTAGAGCCGTGACTACTTTACAACACACACAGGGAATAAGAAGAACAAAAGTAGCCACCCTACTGAAGGAAGGATAGTGTCTCCAATTCAGAGATGATTTGAGGATCTACAGCCGCGTGATACACAAATAAGATACATTTTTGTTAATATTTGAATGTATTTTGAAGGTTTACCTCCTGAGCTTAGTGTCACTTTAAATTAAATTCTGCTATGTGATCGCTCTTTATATATAACTATCGCCCCTTTCACATTAGCTTAGATTTTGGGTTAGACTGATGGTTTCCTGTGGAGAACAAGGCATGTTCTTAAAGAGAAGCTTTCACCAAACCAAACTTAAGCGTTTATTATTATTATTATTATTATATTAATATTATGATACATAACCAGAAATTACCTTCAACTGCATGTCACAATGATCAATCGATCCAGAGATACAATTCAAATGTCATGTTTTCTGCATGAATGGAGTCTTTAACCACCACTTCCTAATCCACCCCATTTGGACCATGAACCCAAATCCAGGATCATCTTATCATAAGGATATATGGTTTTCACAGAAAGTAACTTTTGCATATGTGTTTGTTTATTATAGCTTCCATTGGAATGGTACTGGGTTGTGATAGATCCACTTTAAGTGCCAAACAGATTTTGGATATAAATGAGGAGGTCATGCAACGACTACCAGGGAGAATACAGACTTATAATACGTAAATCAGGTTCATGGGTCATTTTAGGTTAGACTGATGGTTTCCATTGCCATTGAGAACAAGGTAAGTTCTTAAACTGAAGATTTCACAAACAGATACCACAATATGGCCTCTAGATGGAGCTGAGGAGCACAGGAAATCAGTATTTAATTCCTATGCTCCTCAGCTCCATCTAGAGGCAAATTTGTGGCATTTTTTAAATGTTACATTTGACCTGGAAAGAAAATATAGCAAGAACATTAATAGTTGCCTCTATTCGCACAGAATGAGCATTCACAGAGATTTACAGGGCAAATGATCCTGTAAGTTGTTTATAAACAGACCCCATAGTAGGTCTCTTATGCAATAAAAAGTCTGCCTGGTTGCCCCTTTTTAACTTTTAACCTAATGTTCTTCTTTAACAGAAGATTGTGTCTATACGTAGATTCATTGATCTTAAAGTGACAGTAAACTCAGTAGTTAAATCTTAAAATACATTCAAGAACCTTAACTATTAACAAAAATGTATCTTATTTGTGTATCACTCAGCTGTAGATCCTAAATCATCTCTGAATTGGTGCTGACACTGTCCTTCCTTCTGGAGGGGGGGCTACTTTTGTTCCCCATGGTCCCTGTGTGTGTTGTAAAGTAGCCACCGCTCCAAGCTCACTCCCGTAATGGACTACGATCTCAGTACAAATTAGTAAACTAGACATGAGATTGTAGTCCATCTTGGGAGCGAGCTTAGAGCCGTGACTACTTTACAACACACACAGGGAATAAGAAGAACAAAAGTAGCCACCCTACTGAAGGAAGGATAGTGTCTCCAATTCAGAGATGATTTGAGGATCTACAGCCGCGTGATACACAAATAAGATACATTTTTGTTAATATTTGAATGTATTTTGAAGGTTTACCTCCTGAGCTTAGTGTCACTTTAAATTAAATTCTGCTATGTGATCGCTCTTTATATATAACTATCGCCCCTTTCACATTAGCTTAGATTTTGGGTTAGACTGATGGTTTCCTGTGGAGAACAAGGCATGTTCTTAAAGAGAAGCTTTCACCAAACCAAACTTAAGCGTTTATTATTATTATTATTATTATATTAATATTATGATACATAACCAGAAATTACCTTCAACTGCATGTCACAATGATCAATCGATCCAGAGATACAATTCAAATGTCATGTTTTCTGCATGAATGGAGTCTTTAACCACCACTTCCTAATCCACCCCATTTGGACCATGAACCCAAATCCAGGATCATCTTATCATAAGGATATATGGTTTTCACAGAAAGTAACTTTTGCATATGTGTTTGTTTATTATAGCTTCCATTGGAATGGTACTGGGTTGTGATAGATCCACTTTAAGTGCCAAACAGATTTTGGATATAAATGAGGAGGTCATGCAACGACTACCAGGGAGAATACAGACTTATAATACGTAAATCAGGTTCATGGGTCATTTTAGGTTAGACTGATGGTTTCCATTGCCATTGAGAACAAGGTAAGTTCTTAAACTGAAGATTTCACAAACAAAAAAAATTGTACATATGATAAAATTATTATTTGATTATATTATTATTATTATTATTATTATTATATATAGGAAGGAGAAAAAGCTGAGAATGCAGAGAAAGAATAGATATAGGCTCCATTCACACCAAATCCATTAGCATCGGATTTTCAACGAATGCCAACGGAACGGAAGGTAAAAAATGTAATGCAACCGTCATCAACTGAGGTTGAAATTGCAGACCAGACCTCTGTTTACTTACTTTTCGGTCCAGTTTTGGTGTAAACAGGCCTTTAAACTGAAGCCGCGGTCATGATTTCCAACTGAACACAGCTTCTACCCAAGCTGATACTCACGTAAGCATTGGTCATCTCGGAGTTCCTGGTCAGTTTCCGTCCATGTCAGCTTCTCCCCGGCACTATCAGCACAGAAATACTTGGCAGTCGATTCATCTCTCTGTAAAGGCAAGAACTGTCCTTTGTCATCGCAGCGTAGTCCGCGAGTGTTGGCCTGGCAACGCGTGACACCTGAAAGAAAGCAACAGGCACATGAGCAGCCATACTAGTCCAGTGTACAGAGACATTTTAGCATTGGTATAGCAGAGGTTTATTCGGGGCTTTTCAAAAAAGCAGTTTTTGTTTACTGATAATCATCAATTTTATAATTCCTGTATAACATGCTGTGAGGCAATCAATTCCAGGGCAAGCCAGCTGGATAGTGCATTGTGTTCCAGTCCACCATGCTAATTCGGTAAACGTTCATAAAGTAAAGCAAGAGGGCTCAAAGTGAAACTTTCCATTCTCCAAGCGTGTGGTATGATGGTGGTACCATCATAATCTGTTCCATCAGATGTTTCCAATACAATCCTTCTTCCCCCAAAACATGCAACCCGAGAAGACTAAACAATTATGTTATTAATCTCTAAAACTTACATTTTGTCAAAGGTCAACAGTTAAGCCCTCATCTCCATCTCCAACCATTCCACCTGGCCACTGGGAAGAATAATACTTGGCTGTCATCGGAAGAGCAGAGGTGTCTTTGACATGCGGACTTTGATTGACAGCCTGGCTTCACCAGGTTTCTTTATTAATTGGTATTTTGTTGTTCTTAAAGCTGAAAGTTTAAGGGCTAGTTCACACCAGAAACTGCATCACAACTGCGTGCGCCTGCACAGTTGCATTGTGGTCCGTTTTGATGCATTTGTGATGCGTTTTTCCTGCATGTCCCTGGATGATGCCACAATCAATTCTGTTTTTATTTTTTTGTATACTTTCCGTTGCACTTCAGTGCGTTTTGATGCGTTTCGTGCAGTTAGATGCAGGTAAAAAAGGACAAGCAGTACTTTTTCTGACTGCATCTGAACGGACTGTAATGGTGTGAATTAAGCACAAGAAAGCCCATAGGAAAGCATTGTGAAGTATTTTGACTGCAGCAGTTAAAATAAACCGACTGCATCCCAACTGCATATGGTGTGAACTGGCCCTAAAATTTTGCAACAATTGTATGTAAATTTGGCAAGGGAAAGGGTTACTTTAACATAGACATGTAAGCTGCGGAAAAATTTGGTTCGTTTCGGATATTTAATTATTTCGGGATTCGGGTTTCGGATCCGAAATTAAGTTTAGTTCAGGATTCAGATTTGGACGAAATCCGAATTTTGTAAATACCAAAGAAAACCGTATACAGATATTAATACTAAAGCTGAATCTCCTAGAACCAAATGGCATTCGGGATCTGGATTTCCGAATTGCATTTGGGAGCTCCCGCATGCCATTCGGGCCTAGAAGCCTCAGCTTTGGTATTAGATGTAATATACTGAACACAAATTCGTGTTCAGACCCATTCGGATGCATTAAACCAGAAAACACATCTGATTGGCCAGAAAAGTCATATGTCCAATGCATGTTAATTTTTGAACGGAATTCGGACGGGATCCGAAATTCGGAAGCCGAAATTCGGATTCGGACACATTAGGATGCATTGGGATTAGTGATGAGCCAAACACCCCGTGTTCAGTTCGAATTCGAACTTGGGAAAAGTTTGAATTCGAACTCAGACTCAATGCAAGTCTATGGGGGTGGAACTTTCAAAATCAATTGACCCCATTTTGAAGGCTTAAATGCAATTTATTGGCGATAAAAGGTGTATGGGGATTCGGGTACTGCCCTGGCGGACAGGAATCAATGGGAAAAAAAAAACATTTTTAAAGGAGCAGTGATTTTAACAGGTGGGAGCCTTGTCCTGAATGTGCACTGCCGGGTGTCTATGCACTAGCTGCTGTGACGTTACACGCTGAGGCGATGGGGGGATGGGGGGGATAAGCGGGCGCTCCCCCCTCCCTGCGATACCAGGCCACATGCCCTCTGCACTGGGAGGGTGCTTTTCCAGGGCCACCGATGGGGACAAGGGCCCCTTCACCACAATCCCTGGGGCTTTGGTTGTGGGGGTGCGGGCAGGGGGCTTATTCACATTAGAGTACCCCTTTAATAAAGGGGCACCCAGATGCGGCCCCCCCTTGTGAATGAGTAAGGGGTACTTGTACCCATTCACTCATGGGTTAAATAAAAGATTAAATAAAAACACCAGACTTTAATAAAAAATCCTTTATTTTTATAAAAAACCATAACAAAGGATTTTTGACAAGTCCTTTTTTTAAAACAAAAACCCCAAAATGTATCCACCGACATAATCCAGGGTCAATCAGCGTTGTCCACGACGAAGACGACTTGACGAAATAAAAAATAAAACAATAAAAAATAAATTATATTTATTTTTTTTAAACAA